TATGCCTCTGAAGAGTGAACTTTGCTGGCAGTGCCACAAGCTCAGAAGTGCGCGCATGATCGTAACCTCTTTGTGAGAGAAAGCACCATATCACACACCACTTACAAGTTCGTCTGGATTCGCTGTATGCTTTCTTTTGTCGCATACTATTGTCGAATACTATTTGATGTAAAAGAAACACGGTCTTTTTCTCTTCTTTCTGTGCATCTGCTGCGATTTTCCTAACACATGCGTGATGAATGCTTGCGGGATAATATTGGGACGCTTTTTCCTCTTCTTTCAGCAATGGCTGCACCTTCTCGCATTTTGAACGATGGTACGGCCCTTGGAAGTGCAATCGTACTATCACTACAGCCTGGTATCGACCTGCGCGATAAGCGTCGCTGTTTATTGTTTGCGTGCAAACATTCACTGCTTCTTGTTCAGTGAAAGCGTCTTGTGACTTTGCAACATTCAGATCTGTGTCATTGGTCTCCGCTTTTTGCTTCCTTGATGTTTGACGTAGGGGCGAAGCTTGTAAAGCAGGATCTTTGCGAGGCTTCTATGCACTTGAAATAAAGTAGGAAGGATATTCCTCGAAACGAGCAGGCGCTGAGTCGGGAATAAGTTTTCTGATGCGGAACGCAGGCACATAGTCTTCATCATGCAAGCGTCTTCTGCATACGAATGTCGATGCAGACTTGTCGTTGATGATGAGATTGTCTCTTGCAATATTCTGTTGTCATTTGGTGCACAGCTCAGTATTGTTTGGGAACTTGCGAGAAGCAGCACCGGGTGTTTTTCCCGAACGGGACTCGCAATACGGAACACAGCAATACACCTTCACGCAGTTAATACATATCCATGTGCGTGCGTAATGCGCGTGCTGAAGGTTGTGCGACTGCCTTCTCGACTCGAGAAATCACTGTAGACTGAACACTGACCAAGCCCCGAATAAATTGCAGCCGTGGTGCATAGCTAAATCCCATAATAAAGCAAGCCACACTTGATATAAAAGGGAATTGACAACCACCTGCTCCTAGCACTAAGCCACAAGAGATTAATACAAATATTTTAGAAAAAAAGCTGATTACTTGCCGAAAAGTTGTAATGTTGCCAGTTTCTATTTCTAGACATGTTCTTAACTCGAAGGATTGCGAAGAACTGATTTGCACGAGAGTTTTAGTTCTGGGGCAAGTGGCTTGCAAGCGTAAGCAGCTGCATACTTCGTTCAATTCTTCATGGACGTGGCTGCAGTACAATGAAATGCAAAAAGGCTTGGGGTCTCCGAAATGAACATTTCCAGGTGGTGTTAACACCTTTGACAATGCACACCACCCCTCTCTGTGCGTGCCGTCCGAAGGGTTATTCAGCAGCAAGGGCCCTCTCTCTTTTTTACTTTATTTCTTTTTATACGGAGTTTTTTTTTAGCCATTAGATATACAACACACGTGCGTGTTTATGAGTTGTCAGGCTGCAGACCGCAGCATTTAGCCCCGAAAACCACTCCAAACGTATTTGGAACAATACAGAAAAATAGTGAGAATAGTTAACAAAGGCCAGGCGCGTTCGTCATTCTGTGTGCCACTTCTCTTAACTGCAACGTCGTTGTCCAACTTGACCAAGGGCCAAACGTATTTGGTGCTCTCTGCTTGCAGCACAAGTACAGCATTATGTTTCTCTTTGATCGTTGCCTGTGCCTTATGCCTCCTGAACTATGCCTCTCATTAGGCGATTTACCCGCATCTTTATTGAGTTTCAGCTTGTATTATCCACGAGCACATACATACCTACCTTCAGCGGTACGCCGTCTGGTAAATTAGTTTTCTTTTAGTGGCTGATCTTCCCTCTATTCTCGATTTCTTTAATAATCTCCCTTCTCTTCGTCGAGAACCCTCATTCCCCGGTTTCATTATCGACAAACTCCCTTGTGCAGTGTGCGTGGCACAGAACATGCAAGGTCGCTGTGCTCTTACTGCCGAGGAGTGGCGAAACATACTCAGAAACTCCCCATTGTATTCTCGACGAGTGAAAAGACCGTAAGGAAAGAAGCACGCGCAGGTGCTGTCTAGCCCGGCCGTGACACAAAATAGAAGCCCTCCGAGATTCAAGGAGAGCCCCACTAAACCTACAGCATTGATTATGTCAGTAGTTTTTTTTTTTAATGGTGCCGAATCCGCGCAAATACTTTGCTACCACAGCTTAAGGACATGAATCTAAAGCAAATAAAAGCGCCAGTTCATAACTAACGCGCTACAGCGCGCACAACAGTCACTTGATTGATTCCAGGTGGACGGGGACCGTTTTCAGTGGTGCGGCCAGTGGACCAGCTTCTCCACAGTGCATCGTTGCTAGCGGCGTTGGAAAACAAATGCGCTACTGTGCTACCTAAAGGTAGCATATAAAGTAGCCAATTTAGTGGTGGCGCTCACCACGTGGCTGCGGCGAGGAGGCTAAGCCAACGTTGGGCTAAGCCAGCGCACCAGAGAAAGTGGCGAGGTGCTCTTATAGCGCCTGGCGGCGATCGTAGATAGACACCTCCTGCAGAGAATCCGCGGACGATGGTAAACGCAGCTCGATTTTCCAAACAGCAGCGCACCTAAAGATACCAAACACGCAGACACAAAAGGACGCAAACACAACGCTTGTGTTTGTGTGGTTTTATGAGTGCGTGTTTTGTTATCTTTTTGAGCGCTGCTTCTTCAAAAATCATGCTTTATCAACTAGCCGACCAGTACGTATTAAGCAACCATGGGTCGTTTCCCGTGGATTCCTCGCAGCGAGTCGAACATTGGCGACGCCGCATTCATAGTACTTTGTGTTTATGTATGCTGTTTGTGTGTTGTATTGAAGTATTGTGCAATGTTGTTTAATGTGTCACTAGCAACATATCTTATCCAGCTGGCGAAATGGCCATTGTAAAAGCAAGTGAGTAAATGTACACGTTTTGTTGGTTTGCCAGACCGCATCTGATGCATCCTTGAGTTCTGAGACAAGAATTCTCATATTGAGATCCCAAAACTTATAAGGCTGCCACCATTGTGTTTAAGCAGGTTGGGGCTGAAGACGTGTGCGTCGACAGGTATATTGTTGTAGTTCTTTGATCTACACCGCATATCACAGGCTTTTACATAAAATTTAATGGTATGATACCTGGGAACCTGTCATCTTCGTACAAGAACTCAGTGTTGAGGCACTAATATCTTGGTTCTTGTAAAGTTCAATTATAAAATAATTAACTAAAATACTTTATCAACTTGAGAGCAGATTTGAAGCACTTAGGTGGCACTTTTTCTGCTCCATGCAGAGCAAGTCTATTGCAATGGCTGAGAGTGCTCTTTATATGTTTTATAGGCAGACTTGAAGCAGTTCCATCACGAGATAACAAACTTTTTACTTAGCGTAAAGGGGGAGATTCGACCGTAAGTTGCACGCACTCCGTGCCCTGTAACGGAGCTAATTGTGAACGTGCCAATGGACGCAGTCGCGCCTTGCATCGCACTCCACAGCGCTCGCATTTTGCTAGCGTAACGCCATTTTGTTCAGCGTGCCCACTCTTGCAAGATGGGAGACACATGCATTGTGTTTCATTCTGGCTGACCCTGTCTCATTGGGTGCAGGCTTCCAAGGAACACTCTTTAGAATTCACACAGTGTCCCTCAATCGCTTGCCATTTGCTTTAGCAGCAATGCATGTATTCCATTGGCATATAACCTACTTTTGCACTCCACCAGAGTGAAATTCTCTGGCACTGAGTTCCTCAGCCACTCGGAATCCACCAATAAAATTCACCATAAGTTACTCCAAAAGTTACTCCAGACCAAAACTTCCAGTGATAAACTTTGAAAAAAGGAGAGTTGCAGCAGAATCTGGGCAATAAAAACGGCAAGCCATGGTGAAACAATGAGTAAAGCAAGCTAGCAAACACTCTTCTAGGTGCGTAGCACTTCAGGAGTCTAGTTGGGCATCTGTCTACTGTCTCATGTCACATAGTCAAGCAGTGGTCCATACAGGCCTAGAAAAGTAACAAAAAATTATCATGACAGTTAAGCTAAAATAGCAAAAGCCCATTTGAAATATCCAGCTTAGATCCACACCACGCAAGAGAAAGCATCTCTGCCACAGCAAGCAGGCGATTGTTAACGAAACAGCTAGGTTGCCCGCGCTGCCGAATTCAATCTCAGTTTTCACAGTATTAAAGCTGTATTAGGTAGGAGACTTAAAGTACACCAAAACTTGCCCAAGACAGACATCATGGAATTTAGAAACTAGACCATACCTACACAAGAACTACATCATTAACTGCAAAATCAGCGATACATCAATGGTTGATAATGATGTTTGGTGTTTTGCAGCACAAGGGCCATTCAATAGCCAAAAAGCGCCAGCAATACATCAAGCGCTCGGTCTAGTTCTGTCTATTTATATACCTGTCCACCTTTGGTCAAATTGCTGAAAACCCTTTTCTGATGAAGCCATAACTTAGAGGAACACTAAAGAGCAAAACCATTTTTCATCATATCAGTCTTACAATCCTGAAAACATCACTCTTACCGCAACACGATCGTTCATAAGCCAGAAAATGCAAAAAAAAAAGCAGGTGGACGCCACCATGAGATTCCCGCACTAAACACCGTAACATCATTGATTTTGGAGGCATCTACTGGGTCATACGTAGCTTCTCATTAATAAAAATGAAATACATCGTCATCTGTGGGTGCCACAAACCTAGCACACGAAGTCTCAGAAAATTTCATTCAGCCAATGCCACAAAAATACGAAATTGAAAATACGAAATATGAAATTTTTCGACGTCACGCATGAAACTTAAAAGTAAAACTTTAACCTTAATTTTCTCCGCGGATAACGAACTTATGATAGTGAAACATATGGTATAGAACTTATGATAGTGAAACATATGATAGAGTGCAGTGTGTAATTCTAAACTTATGTCTTTTTAGTGCCTCTTCAAGCTCTACTTTTTGAAGTCTCTCAGTTGTGAGAAGGAGAAAAATCATGAGAAATATGAAATAACATCTCGTTTATAGTTTCAAAAGTCACATAAAAAAATTTTAGGTTGATGGTAATATTGTGCAATTCTTGTTCATCATATCACCTATTCAACAATGCTAAGGCGAGCAATATTGCTTCCTCTTTACGTGGTGTGTGCTTGTTGAACCGTTTTCTCTTTTCCAAGTTTAAGGCAAGTCCTTTGCAGGAAACCGCGCAAGATGGACAGAAAGCTTTCTTTCCAAGAGCCCCTTCCATGCTGTTGAAAGGCAGGCTGAGCCAGTGGTTTCAGAAGGAGGGCTCAAGGTTCCCCGGCACATCCTTATCTTGGCCCTTGCAAGCTGGTGACGACGAGCCTCGGCCAACTTCGAGAGAAACTTTGACTGGAAAGGAAAAACCATAGTACTGTAATATTATCTTTAAAAGTTTGATTAAAAAGTATTACTGGAAACAACAATATGATATCATTACAAGACACACAGTAGTAGGAGATTACACGCTAACATTAATGACCTAGGTTGGCCACATTTGTGACCCCACCTATACCCATCGATAGTATGTTTTCGATGTTGACAACTTGTATATTTGCCCTGTTTCGAACGCTTTTGGACCACTTGCCCTATCTAACACGTAAAAGAAAAAGTATTTTATCACTATCGCTTTTGTGTTTCTCTTTTTTCACCGTGTGGCGATTTTAAAGCGCCTTTTCATGTGCGCGAGTGAGCATGCACAGTTTCAATCATGGCGTCGACGTCGCGTGTGACTGCTTCAAGAAAACGGCGAATTTTGGTTTATTCTCGTGCATCTGGGCTAGAATATTCAAATGACGACAACAGCACAGGCTTGGAAGACGACATTGATACCTTTAATTTTAGCGCAGATGACGAGAGTTTGTGAAATCACCCCGAAACATCAGCGGTCGTCCGCCGGTGAGTTTAGCTTTGCGCTTGGGCCGCGTTATTGCCAGCGCCCGTCGATATAAGTTGAGCCAATGTGTCCTGAAGGTTAGAGCTCTTATCTGCAGGGCGTCCACTTCCTTCGGGCGGGACTACTCGTTGGCGGCAGCGCAGGAGTGCAGTTTTCGTGTGCGGAGGCAACCGGGAGTGAACCTTAGAGCCACGTTACGTAGTCCCGAGCCGCGTTTCGTAAGCGCTGTCGACTTTTTGTTTTTACTGTTCAAGTTATTGGAGAGCTATACAAAAGCACAAATAAATATGCTTGGATGCATATTTTTGAGAAGCCGACGTGCAACGAGAGAGGCAGTTCTTAGAGGTTCCAAAGTCCACCTTGATGCTCCTACGCAAACCTGTGTTTTACCTAGGATTGTGCGAATATTCAAACGAACAGTTGAGTATTGAAATTCGCTTCGATTCAAATCGAAATTATCAAATATTTTCGAAGTATTCGCAATGAACGAATAAGTGGATATTAGTCCGCACGTCACCACCTGTAAATATGGTTTCATTGCAATGTAGAAATGCTAAACAGTAAAAGCACCTACCCAAAAAACATTTGCTTTGCCGTGAAGCGCCCCCTTCAAATTTAAAGGGGTCCTGCAAAATTTACTGAATATGGTCGAAAAACGCTGCCGATCGGTAGTCGAGGCTACTGAAAACACGCGAGGCAAATATTGTAGCGCAGCAACATGGAGGCAAATATTGTAGGCCTGTAATTCACAATCAATTTTTATACTAAAAATTGCTTTCTTCCCCTCGGTAAATGACACTACAAGCTCAAAAATCACTTGTCACAGCCAAAAAGAAATATATGACTCTGGTCACAGGCATCAGCTGATTTGAGCATAATGCGCTCGCCGTTACCGGGGCTGCTACTTGTCCACGATTATGTGCACGATCGCACTGAAAAGCCGCGTATTCGAAGAAAAATAAAAAGGGGTGCTCAAGGTCACGAGGTGCGTGTGCAGTATTTTCTTTCACCATGCCATTCCTCCCTGCTTAGCTTCAAGCTATTTCGTCAATACGAGAAGAGAAAATCCAATTGTAGCAAAGACAAATTTTTGGAACTCTGCTCGCACTGGAATGATTCTGGAAACATTACAGCAGTGAATTTGTGAGGCTACAAGCATGTTTACTGGCTCCATGGCTACTTGAAAAAGTGTCGCAGCACCCCTTCAATGGAACATGTTACCCTCAAATCAAGTCTTCATTTTATTAAGCTTGTTATAACGGCTTATGTTATCCAAGTACAGTGAAATCTTGGTAAAACGAACTTCAGGTGGCCGTGGAAATTTGTTCGTTATTTTGAAAGGTCTTTGTGATGAAAGCTCGAAATTTAACCCTAAATACTTATTTTTCACTGACAAAAATGACTTACCTTTAATACGGTGGATCTTTGAACAGATTTTTCACGAGAAAAAAAAAAACAAATGCACAAGTAAAGACCAAAAAATACACGTTTACCTTAAAGAAGTCTGTGATTTTTTTTTTTTTTTTTTGTCGCGAGCAGCACAAACTTTGCAGCACGAAGGCCTCCAGCTCATCAACATTCCTGTGGTGCAATTCGGTTCTTAGGTCACAACAGCCTAATTTCTGCCTTCCAGTTGTCGAAGAATATCCATTGTCTCACTTAGCGAAAACTGCTTCCGCTTCTTCGTCGCAAGCAGAAATGAGCTCATTTGTAGTGTCATCGCAGCGCAAATGCCGACTTGTTTTGCAAACCCAATAAGTAATCACCGAAAAGAGATGAACACGACTGAGAAAAACAAGGCCTCTAAAGAAAAACCCGAAGCGTCACGGCTGTCGTTGCCTTTTTCAAAGAAAAAAAAAAGTGCTCAAAAAGAAGATTCCTCGCGTTTCGTTTTCTGCTCTCTCGCTGTCTCAGGTTTTCCTCGCCCATGCTTCCTGCTCTGCAACACCCACTCTCCTTCGCTGACCTTGCCCTCCTGTGTTGCCCTCGCCTCTGCGCTCGCTTGTAAACCTGTAGCGTCCGGGTTTCAACAAAAAAAAGAAAAAAAAAGAAAGGAAGTCGCCCTTTCGTTCTTTTTTTCTTCCTCCACATCGCCGCTCGTCTTCCCAGAAAGCAAGGCGTCTGTTCGCTTTGTCGTCTGCTTGCGTACCGCTCCGGTGGTCGCAACGGATTTCAGAAGATAAGTTCGTAGCACTGAGGCGTTGTTAATATAACGTGGAACTAAATTAACGCTTGTTATTCTGAAAGGTTTGATATTCTGAAGTACAAAATAGTGAAATAATTTTACATTAAAACTTATTAGAAGTCAGTGCAGAATTTTTTGAAATTTCGTTAATCTGAAAAGTTCGTTATTGTGGGGTTCGTTCTACCGAGATTTCACTGTATAATGAATTTTAAAACATTAGGTATTTTACAGGTTGTCTGTTGCATTCTACCGAAGCTACTACTCAAGGTTGATTCGATTTCCTTTGAATGAAAAAATAAATGGCATTTGCAAATAGCCCCTATTTCAATTCAAAAGAAATATAGTGCACGTTAGTTGGGTCATGATAAATATTTCCTTTTTTTATAAGTCATACATACCATTAAATTCACTTCGGTATGATTAGATCAAAATCGCTATTTGCTTCGAACCAAAAATTCACTGTTCGCACAAGCCTAGTTTTAAAGCATCACGAAACTGCTTCGCACGGTGGCATGAAAGACACTACGTGTAATGTTATTTTATGTACAAAAAAACTTTCGTATTTACAGGGCTTATACTTACAGGACAAGTGTGTGTTCTTTGTGATTAAAATATATATACAAATATATATAGGTTTTAGCCTGCTGACGTTCACTTCTCACCCGGTTCTCTCGTTCTCCTGTGGTGCCCAGTTCGTCGAGTTGGCTTATCAGAGAAGTTATTGTCTCGCTACATAGGTCCTTACCGTATCATCCGCCAGGAAACCGACGTCACCTATGAGATTATTCCTGCATCTGAGACCACAAGCCTGCCTGCAACCACACCCAGTGATATTGTGCACGTCAGCAGTCAAAAACCTTACCACCTGCCTACTGAAGACTGTAGTTAATGTGCACCGAGACGGCGCTTTTACCGCCGGGGGGGTAATGCTACGTAGCTGACGTATCAGTAGTCAGAAGACGACAACGAGGAAGTGGTCTGTTGGTTGTGCGTGCTGCTTCCATCTTAGCCGACGCCATATGCATCAGTTTAAATATAGATTTTAAATAGACACGCCTCGTGTCATTTTCACGTAACAATATTTTCATTTCTTTTTATGCTTAGCCTGTTCAGAGCAGTGTTCATTGTTCTATGAAATTTCTTTGTTCATGTTTACAAAGTTTTTCGTTTGATAATTTTTTTCCTACTATTGTTAACAAATTTGTTGTTTCAAACTGACTGTGTTTGAAAGATAACTCCTAGCTGTATAATTTGACACCATAAACATTAACATCAGACTTTTGGGTGCCATGAAAAAATAAGGTTTTCTGGACTACCTAAAAATGGCCAAATTTCTCATAGTCACGAAAGTGTTATTGTGCACATAACTAAAGATACATCCTCGCAATTTTTAAACAGTATCACACGAGTGCCGAGCACGGGATATGGTAGCATCTAATAGTCCCGAAAAATAAAGATCTGCCAACCATGCATAAGGAAACAAAGCACGCTGCACTACTAGCACTATCTGCTACGCTGTAAACCTCTACATATCTACAGAGCTTAGTTCAACATATCTTTATGTAATCTTTACATGAATAACCAGCGCGATATAACAGACTGAATCAAAGAAATGCTGAAGGTTATGCACATGCGCTCTATGTGCAGCCAAATGTGAGTGTGCTGTTCTGCTAGGCACATTCGATACTAGTGCTTTCTTTAGCGTTATCACCGTTGTATCTCAAATTTTTTTTTTTTACAAAGGCAACACACATTCATCTGGAAAGTATGAGGGCCTAGGACACCAAGACACACCTACTGACGTTGCTCGCTTGGAGCATACTATCACATTTGTTCTTGCATAATTTGCACAATTTCCTTCACAATTCGGAGGCTCCGAGAAAGGGGGTGCGCAAACTATGGAAGGATTTCGCAAATGCATGCGAAATAATGTACAATAGTCCTAATGCGCGGAGTATATACATTAAATGAAATAAATTAAGTTTGATCACGAATGAAGTGTACTTGTTTATTTAACTGAATTAGCACGTAGTTTTATCAGTCAGACCCGGTCACGCATTGTCTAGTTGGAATCACTGATCGAGAGGTCTGATTGAGAATCATCGTCGCGGCCGCTGCCACCGTCCTCCCAAAGTGCATCGCCCTCGTTTCTGTCCAGTGCGTTTGAACACTGCTTCGAACGCGCGTTCGAACTTTTTGAACACCGCTAGTCAACGGGACATCCCTTCGACTTCAGCAATGCGATGACGCTGGCTCGGGAACAAAGGTTGGGTAAGAGAAAGCGTCTCAAGTTGTGGTTCATCTGCTGCAACAAGTTGGTGTCCAACAACAACTGTGGCCCCCTACCAGATGTGTACGGACATATGAGACTAGATGTAGACTGGGTTTCCTTCTCTCTTTAGGTGCCAGTGCATACTAACCATGCCACCCGCATACCGTATAAACTTGATTTTACCACGCCCTCGATCGTAACGCGCCCCCGGTTTCAACGACGAGGAAAAAAAAGAACTTCGATTGTAACACGCACCCATTTTTCTCGTTGGTCAGCACGATCACACCACTCGGGGAAACGACTCCTATCAGGAGCGTCTTCCATTTAAATATCAGGTACGGGAGAAGCTAGCGCCTATCTGACGTGCAACAGAACATTGCCGTCACTCTAGCTTTTTCGTAGCCCGATGTCAGCACGCGAACTTGCTTCGCCCCCTTCTTCTCGACGGTTGTGGTTCCAGGCATGTCGAAGTAAAGAGGCGCCGGATCGGCATTCCCAATTTGCCCAAGCGGAAAGCCGTTGTTGTGCCACAAGTTTAGAATGAACCCCTGAAAACTGTGAAGCTTTCCTTCGTACTCCTCCGGCAACTTTTGGCTTATGCCCATTCACCTTCGGAAGGAAAAGCCTTTCCTCTTCATAAAGTTAGTTAGCCAGCACCTGCTCGCTTTGAACTGGCTCCGCGTTAGTCCTTTTTCTAAGGCTAACTGCATAGCCCACACTTAGAGCAGTTGTGTCGTCACGGGCCGCTGTGCGGCTCACTGCTCAAGCACATACTCGGCGAGCAGCTCTTCAATTTGTAGAAACCGACCCTGCTGTGGTCCACTGAAGGCTTTACATGAAGCTTTGATGTCGACAATCTTCTGCTTTTGTTTCCGACAGTCCTGCACGCACGTTTCGTGAACTCCGAGCGACCGCGATGCGGCCCAATTTCCGTCTGTTTCTACACACACGATGACTTTTCTTTTAAAAGCGGCATCATGGTGCACTCGTCGAATCTTTAGAGTCGGCCCTTTCATGCCGTCGATGTTAATGCACTACAAGATGACGAACTCCTCAGCACACGTACGAAGTGCCGCACATGGGAAACACCTTTGGCAGAAATGGTTGTCGCGCCATGCCGACGCACGTAGGGGGTGGCCATTTTTGAAATAGAATGACTGTATTCATTTTTTTTTTTTTTTTGTTCTTGATGCTAACATGCATGCGATTTATGAACTCGCTTAAGTGGAAAAAAGGTGCTTGTTAAATTCGAGTAATTACGGGAGGTGGCAAAACGTCTGTGTAGTCTTTGGTTATATTTTGTCGTTTTAAGTCAGAGTATATATTTAATCAGAGATGGAGAGATAAGGGAGGACAAACACTCGAGCAGTTCCGGTGACCTATCAACAAGTTTGTGTTCGTGCACAGTCTTCTAGGAACCATGGTCCAGGAGATGTCTCTGATTGATTTACATGTGGGGTTTAGTGTCCCAAAACCACCATATGATTATGAGAGACGCAGGAGATGTCTCTGGAAGAAGTGACTTCGCATTCGCAGCCCGTTTGACTATGCTCGCTCGATCGCTGAGGCACGCATGTTCAATGTATTTATAGGTCAGAGCCTCTCCGTGGCACGCCGGTGAGCTAGCTCGCGTGGGTTGAGGAGGGCAAAATATGCGAGTCAACATTTTTTTAGTAAAATTGACAAAATAGCGTCACGTCCCTTTTGAGATGCAGGTGAGATTCGTTAGATGTAGATTAAAATCACACCAGGAGTGCATGCAAGTAAATGAACTGCAGCTGAAATTCCAAGAAAGCGTTGTGATCACAGCATCAGGTTCTAAATTCTGCCTCTATTGCATGAACCAGAGGTTAAATTTGTGCTGGATGTTAAATATGCCACGTCGAGTGCCAAAGATAATTGATTGCCTTCCATGTCGCTGTGTGAGACGAGCAGGCGGCAAGTTGCAGAGACGTTACTTTTACGACAAGCCACTCTCATCAAGATCTTGCAAGCATTCAGAAAAGAGGGGCAAATTGGTGACAAAGCAATAAATTTAAATTTGTCCATAAGAGAACTGCAGAATAAAACGCTGACTTGGTTGCTATTGCAGGTGCGAACCCCTTCATGACAGCAGGTCAGGTAACAGATGCAGCGAACCTTGATGTCAGCACAGAACTGGTCCAACAATAGCTCGTTAAAGTAAGTTTGATGAACCTAAATGCTCCCAAGAAGTCACTCCATGCCAATGAGATGATGGGGAAAAAAACTCACGTTCGCTCAAGCACATCTGTGGGCTGCAAATGACTGTCAAAGTTATGTGTTCCCAGACAAGCTCATGTTTAACGACTAGCAACTACAATGAAGTAGTGGAGACACCAAAGAGGTGAATACCTTTAAAAGTGAGAGTTCAGAACTTATCTGTTAGGTAAAATATAAGCAAACGAGGTGTTGAGATCAAAAATCAAGAAATTTTTTTCTAGTTTAAGCGTTATGCCTGCACTTTTAAGATTTGGCATGTGAGGAGTGCTACCTTGCAAATAAATACAGTGCCCATATGAGAACCTCTCTGCATTCTCATACCTTGGCTTTTGTGTGGTCACCGTAAGATGCTTTGTGTCCTCTGAAGTCCCACTGGAGCTTTGGGAATTCAGATGCGAGTGTTAGTCCCAGGTAGTGGTACTTCCAGCGGCGGCCGCCACTGCTCGGGTCTGATATCAAGTTGCATCTACTGCAGAAAAGGCGGGAAAACGATTAATATATTTTAAAAAAAAGCACTGTCAAGATTAAGAAACTGATAATATTATCTGAGGTTTTATGCTCAACACCCGAGATGTGATTATAAGAGATGCTGTGGTAAAAAGCTCCGAAAATTTCGACCACCAGGTGGTTTTCAATGTGCACCTAAATTTAAGCACACAGGCCTCAATCCCTTTCGCATCTACCGAAAACCCACCCATTACGGCCAAGATTCGATTAAAGTACCAGCATGTCGTAATGAGCGAGACAACTTCTTTTTGAGAAGCTCGTTTCTTTGTTAAGCACAACCAAATGTGCCCATGAGTAAATTAGGCCAGGAAAGGCATAGTGGACAAATAGCTGTCTTTAACTGTAGTATAGCAGTTGTGACGTAAATTGAAGCGAACGAAAACTCTCCTTTCTGATAGTGGGACCCAAACCCATAGCCATCGAATCAGTGTTTCTTATGCTTTCTTTGGCCTAATTGTCTGTTGGATTCATTCAGTGATGTCATAACAAAGACTCGCTTGATACTGCACATAACAGGGACCATGCTACCATCTTCATCTTATTCAGTGCAACTTGCAACACATCGGAGAAATACACTTGATGTTTTCTGCAAGAATTAGCAGTTAAAATATAACCCCAGACTGAGAAGATGGCCACAGCAACAATTGTTTAAAACATCTACACTCCAGTGTTTAAGTGAACATACAGTAGACTCGTTATAGAGAATGTGAGTGTTCCGGGAAAATAGGTTCCACTTAACAAAAGTTCCACTTACTGAGAGATGAACAGGGGTGCAGTATCTAATCATATGAAAGGCAGTCGTTCCACTTAAAAGCGCCCTGAAACAATTTTTCATGTAACCACAGAATGGATTCACTGGAAAAGCTTATTGCCTAACGAATTCAACGCCGAAAAAATTTTCAGAATCCGTCCATTGCGAGTGGAGTTACAAAGGTCCGTCGCATGCTGCAATTGCATTCTCCCTTTTCTCGTCCCGATGAAAGCGCTGGAAGCTAAGCAGGGAGGAATGGCAGGGGCACAGAAAAACGTCACATGCGCCTCATGGTTTTGAGCATTTTTTCTTCTTTTTTTTCTTCGAATGCGCTGCTTTTTTGGTGTGATCGCGCGCGCGCGTGGACAAGTTGCGGCCTTTTGTGGCCATCTCTGTAACAAGTGAGCGCGCCATGTTCAAATCAGCCAATGGCCGATAGATGGGTAATTCACGTGTGATTTTTGGGCATATTCCGCTATTTGTCGAGAGTGTGAAAAAGAAAACGCATTGTTGGCAAGCAACATCACCACAGCTTGGGTACTGGGTCCTGGGCTTTTCTTGCTCGCCTCGTGCTGATCGTCGCCGGCATCTGCTTGACCGTTGCTCTGTTCTGATCGTGTTTTCATCGTAGGGCCACCGTCGCAACCCACGCCAATAAACCCCTTTACAACTGGTGGAGGGTGCTGACATTCCCGTCGCTTGAACCTGGGTGCTGCCGTTCGCCGTCGCCTAAACCTGGAGCTGCGCAACCAAACTCTATCTCCCATCATGGCCAACAACAACGCGCAACCTGGCTCTTCCCTTCCATCCTCCAGCAACCCCGGCGTTCTTCGCTTGCGAGAACCGATGGTCTTTAGCAGAGCTGATGAGACCGACGTGGAAGACTGGTTCACTTACTATGAACTGGTGAGCGCAAACAACAAGTGGGATGACGCGGACAAGTTGACTACCGTAATCTTTTATCTCGCTGACGTGGCTGAAATGTGGTATAACAACCACAAAAACGACATGGTCCATCTTCAAAACGTCGTTTGCTGACGTTTTTGGCCGACCCGCGGTCCGCAAGTCCAGAGCCGAACAACGCTTGCGGACTCGCGCACAGAAGCCAACGGAATCGTTCCCCAGCTACATCGAAGACATTATTGGTCTTTGCAACCGCGTGAACACCATCATGCCCGAGTCGAAGAAGAATCAGCACATCCTCAAAGGGATAAATGACGGCGCATTTCAGATGCTCCTGGCCCGTAATCCTGCCACCATTGCAAAACTTGTCACTTTGTGTCAAAGTTTCGACGAGTTAAGGAAGCAGCGCGCCCTGACTCGGCCATTTTCCTCACAAGCCGACTCGCTCTCCAGTCTCACTTTCGTTTCCGATCACTCACCAACCCTGCAAGAGATTAAAGACTTTGAGCGTGAAGAGGAGGAAGACGAAGAAGTGTGTTTTGAATAGGAGCTACTTCTGCTAACTCCGGCGTATTTCAGTTGTAATTTAAGTCTGTTGATCAGTTTTCGCTGCTCCCTTGCAGGGGATGGATGAAAACCACCCCGGGCGCTTGCCGGCACCAGCGGCGGCCGCCTCCAGGAAGCGGATGGGACAAGCGAGCGACAGCGACAGTGAAGATACCCATGCTTACTATCTCAGCAGTGAGGACTTCTGAGATGACGGTTTCCAACCTGTGCTGAGCCGCAAGGCGAAGAGAAGGAACATGAGGACATCCTCATCCTCAACTATTCAAACTGTAAGTGAAGCGCCAAAATCGAACACTTATACCATCCTGTTTCTGCCTGCACTTCCTACCGTCAGCATGAAACGCCTTAACAGACAGTCTGTGTCGAGGTCTCTGGAAACGCTCGTGCCAAATGAGATCATGGACATAAGAGTGAACGCCAGAAAGAATATACTGGCTGTGGACGTTTTGCACGCAAGTGCGTTGGGCGTTCTGCGCAGTGTAACCGACTTGGACGGCAACCAGGTGCGCTCTCATGTTCCCTTGGGATGTGATGTAGTAACCAGCGTGATCTACGACATTGATGTCGCTATTTCCAACAAGGACTTACAACTTCTTGTCAAGTCAACAACTGATACTCCAATTGTTGATGTCACCCGGCTAGGCAAGTCTCGCTGTGTGAAGATTGCGTTTAAGAGCACATCACTCCCCTCTCATGTGAAGGTGGGGTACTTCAGACATGCTGTGCGGCCTTTCATTCCAAAGCCTCTCCAGTGTCGTAAATGCATGAAACTTGGACATGTGAGCAGCGTCTGCGAGAATTCGGTGGTATGCCAACGCTGCGCCGAGCACCATGAAGCGGATAAGTGCGTCGCAACTGTCAAGAAATGCTCTAATTGCAATGGATCCCATGAAGCCACATCGAAGGACTGCCCACGGATTCAGAAGGAAATTGCCATCTTGAAGGAGATGGTGCGCGATCACTCATCTCATCGAGAAGCCGCAGCTAAAGTCAGAAGGCGTCGTTCACGTCGACGTCGGTCTTCGAGGACACCCGCTACCTCCTCGACACGTTTGCGTGATCCCTCATCAGTACCACCTCCTTTGCCTCCCAGACCACATGCCGTGGGAAAGGCTGTAAAGGACAAAGCCAGTGAGCATACCCTAACTACGACAGAGTGGCCTGCACTTCAAAGGGAAGCAGCATCAAGCGAACCGAAGAGCTTCATGACGGCCAGTCCGCGCTCCCGGTTCGAGATCTTTCCAACCAAGACAGGCAAGTGACTGCAATCGTCCCGGTTCGAGATCTTTCCAACCAAAACAGGCAAGTGGCTGCAATCGTGCAATCATTAATTGCCACGATTCGCACGCTACTGAGCAGCATACAATCTCCGTCTGCTAAGAGTGCACTGCAAATACTGGATGCACTGAATCTAGTTCTTGCTAACTTCGTATAAGCACAATGGCTCAACAAAATCTCATCTTCTGCACTGAAGTTAAAAGTGCGTCGATTTTTCAGTGGAATGCCAGAGGCATGAAGTCCCGTATCTCGGACTTTCGCCAATTTGTTCGGGCCAATCAATTCCCTATACTTGTCATATGTGAACCAAACGTATCAACGCCTTATAGATTGTCCGGTTATGAAGCTTTTTGTTCAGCCGCTTGCGAAGAATGAAGCAAAGTAATTGTTTACATTCGCACAGACTTGACTTATCTTTCGCACCCAATAAGTTCAAATGACGACAATCAGTACGTGTGTCTTCGTGTGAAGAAGAATGCAGTTTCGTTCACGCTTATTGGTGGATATGTATCTCCGTCATCGCGATTTGACTGCGACATCCTAATGAAAAAACATCCTAATGAGAACCGATGGGCCTTGGATCATCACCGGTGACTTCAACGCCCATCACATGCTTTGGGGGAGCACTAGGATAAATGCCAGGGGCCGGAACATTGTGACATTCGCTTCCGATTACGACCTTTCCATCATGAACGATGGTACCCCCACATATCTGCGGGGTCTCACGTATGGCAGTTGCCTTGACCTGACATTAGTGTCACGGTGCTTCTCTCACAAAGTTAAGTGGTTTTGCGATATTGAGACTCATGGGAGTGATCACATACCCACCTACGTGACGGTCGATGGTATCATAAAAAATTTCTCTTCCGGTATTGCAATTGGCACTGACTGGTCGATGTTTACATCGCGTGTTGAGAACGCTTGCCAAGAAGGCCTCGCCTGCAGCCTGGAAAATACCATAGCGGAAGCTATGCAAGCGTCCAAATGTAAATTACCATTTTCGTCTAAAGTAACACAGTTTGACATCGAACTGGAAAAATTACGAGCTATACGAAGGCGTGCTGAACGACGATACAGACGCACAAGATCAATTTACGATCTGAGAGAAGCAAGGCGGCTCCAGAAAAAGATTCAATGACGCATTTACAAACTGGAGAGCGAACGCTGGAAAGCATTCTGCGAATCTCTAGACCCTCATAAACCTCTGTCATATATCTGGAGAACAGTTCGTCGTCTTCACTCCTCTCCACAACAACGGCACCCTTTTAAAGCTTTGGCACTCCATCATGGAAACACAGAACTCGAGGTGGCTGAAGAATTTTGCACGAGAGTTGCTGGGAATATTATGAACGAGAGCATAGACGCCGTGATCGTTCCTGAGACGCGATTACCAAAAATGGACATTCCGTTCACCATGGAAGAACTGGAAGGTGCGTTAGTCGCTTCTAAGCGCATGTCATCGC